TGAAAATTATTTTAGTAATGAGGTGGATATTTTTAAACCTAAATTTTTCTTTGTTAATATAGGACTTCTTATGGTTTTTATTTTTTATTTTTATACGAATTTTGATGGTATTTTTTTTTATACAAATTTTGATGGTATGTTAATTACAAAATTACTAATTAATTTAAATATGGTGGGACTCACCGACTTTAATAATAACTTGTTTTTTATCCTAATCACTGGAGTAGTACTAATTACCTTACCCTATTATCCTTTTAAAAATACAATTAACGTTACTCTATTACAGTATACTTTTAAAAATAAAATTATCTTAACTACTGTTTCTTAATAAACTAAATTTAATATAATGGGACCAACTCTAAATTAATCTTCTCTTCTTCCTCCCCTGCCCCAGCATCTTTCTCCCTCACTTCGGGCACCTCCCTCCCTTCTCAAGCATTATCACACGTCATGAAGTCATTCGCCAATTTCATAATATTGAAATATGAATCTCTTTTCCATAAGAAAACACGATTTCTCTAGAATTGATTTTTCAAAACAACTTACACAGTCATAATGCAAGGCATGTAGGTTAGGTTGTACAAAATCCAATTTTATTAGTATGCACAGATTAGATGGAAAAAAAAAAAAAAACATTCTCCGTAAATTAAAATAAGATAAAGGTGTGCCATTTTGATATCTATATAAAAGAAAAAAAAAAAAAGAACAATAGCAAGAAATTCAAATGAATAAAACACAAATGACTAAAAAATTACATATGATTGGTCGATTTTAATAAGGATTCTGGATACAAACATATACTTGAAAATAGTGTCACACAAGACTATAAAAATTTCCATATATCTAAGTACTTATTATGATTTAAGCTAGTGTCTAATATTTTCATACTTGTAGTTGTCGATGATATGTTGTTCTAGATAGTTTGATCCAAGATATGACATCTGGAAGCATGTAAACTAATGCTGACAGTATCCACCACTGAGCTTTAAATTCAATTGTGTTGAACAGAAGTGACAGATCTTTGGGAAAGGACATACGTAACTGAACCCACCAAAACACATAACAGGTTACCGTAACCAACCATTCTCTATAGTACACTCGAGGTTCAAAACCAGCCAACACCACAATACCGTATTTAGCAATTGATTGCATAGCCCAAATCTTGTCTTTGATTCCTTTGGTATTTGTAGAGAGCAGAAACATATCTTTGGGAAAAAAGCTTTGCAACCAGAAACAAAAAATGACATAACTGATTACTATAAATAACCAATCTTTATAATTGGCCATGGGAAATGTGATAAGAGCAAACTTGAACATGCCTTGTGCAATATTTACAACTGTCAAAACCAAACCACTAATTCCTTTGGTATTTGTAGAGGGCATTGAGCTATCTTGGGAATTATTATAGAACTTACAGAGACTATAAAGCACAATAACAGTTGCCTTAACTAACCCGTTTTTATAGTTGGATAGGGAAGATTTGAAAGTAGAAGAAATGAAGATGCTGTTTGCAAAACATGTAACTGTTGATGAAAAAATAAACAACACACTAACACTTTCAATTGTGGTATTTGTGCAGGGATCTTCTTCCAAATCCAACCAATACTTATCTAACCAGTTCTTGAAACTGAATGACACAAAACAGATGGAAGCAATTATCCATGTGGGAAAGTTCAACTCATAGCGGTTGTAAGTAATAGATCCAATGACTCCAATGACAAAATTAAACAACCCAAGGTCTGTTTGCGGTCGTGATACCACTAGTACACATAGAAGAAAAACTGAGATGCACAACATGGCACTGAGGCCCCTCAAGGAATTATCGTAAAATTTTGCAAAAAGAAGTGCTATAATGAAGAAGATGAAGTTTGATGTTGAATTTACCATGCAGTTGTACCTTCCAAGAAGAATTTTAAATTGACTCCAAGGCTTTGAATGTCTTAACAGCCCAAGGCCAATTATCGTCAATAACTGCACTTTGACTCCTCTTCCATCATATTTTGAACTTAACTCTGTATTCTCTAGAAGAAATATGGCAGAAAACATGGCAAGTTTACCAACTAGTTTGGCCTTTAGTTGACCCTTTGCCGCTTCGTTGTGGAGATGCATCTCGAGGACTTTCGATAGATTCTTCATCTTCTCAATAATAGGATCTAACAGAGATCTCATTGTTGATTGGAAATACACCTTGAGGGCTTTCCATTGATTGCTCACCTTCTCTTCAATCCAATCTTGCAAAAGTATTACCCAATAAATAAGCCTAGTTACTGTCAATAATGGATGAAACCTGATAACCATCCTCACAATCCATGGCACTGCAATTGAATCTCTCATAGCTTCCATCTAGGAGAAAGGTGAGAAAGAACTGGTAGCACAGGTGGTTACTACGATGAATTAGTTCTACACGGCATAAAATAAAAGTCTATTTCCCCTGTACGAGTTGGTGTAGAATTCAAAAATAATTCGTTGATAATATGTATTAGTCAAAGGTTTTTAGTAGAGACATTGATTAGTATTGGGACGTGAATTGGTTCTTCCTTGGTGGGACTTGTGCGGTGGACCAGATGATGGGCATTTTTTTTTTATATATGATGTGTGCACACCCGGGTGTTGGATCCGGGTGTGCACACATCATTTTCCTATAATTTAATGTATAAATGGGTTTCCATTCTATAAATATTTATTAAAGTTAATTAACTACAATTAAAATTTTCCAATTATTGGAAATGACAATTTGGCCAAGCAGTCCAAGGCGCAAGTTTTAGCCTCTGGTCCAAGAGTGCATGGGTTCAAATTTTGAAAAAAAGTATAGATAAAGATAAAAGTTTTATCCTTTTTTTTTTTTAATTTTAAAAGGTGAAATTTGTTAATTTTTAAATAAAGTAGGAATTTGTTGATAATATGTATTAGTCAAAGGTTTTAGTGGAGACATTGATTAGTATTGCAATGTGAATTGGTTTTTCCTTCGTGGGACTTGCGCGGTGGACCTTCCGTGAACTTGCACTAATACTACTATTGGTATTGAAATTTGGCGTGGACCTTCTAAGTCAAGTCGTCATTTGCCGTGCTTCTTGGTTATTTGACGTGGGGAGTGGGGATTGACTTTAATTAGCATTGGCATTTGACCGTCACTTACCTTACTAGCCATTTCAATTTTCTCATTTTGAATGTTGTCCACAAGTGGATGCTTTTGCAAATAATTTTTTTTATTTATAATTTTTAACAAAAAAAATTTATAACTTAATGGTTTAGATTAAGAGTATACCACTATTTTAAAACTTGAATTGAATCGGTATATCTAATCTGTTGAATCAAAACTAGTTACAAAATTGGTTCGAGTTATGACATAAATCCAATTTATAATAAGATTCGGTTAGAGTTAGTTAAACCCAGTTAAAATTTGGAAAATCTGATCAAACTCGTTGGTTTCTGAACAGATGAATCATCTGGTTTACAAGTTTTGAAAACTTTCAACAAGTTTGTGCGCACAAAGAATTCAAACCCCACTCCTTCAATACACATTTTGAAGTTTTTACCATTGGACCACTAACACCACTATTGTCACTTTTACACAAAATTTTATTTATTTAGATAAAATAAAATAAAATAAAATAAAATAAAATAAAATAAAATAAAATAAAGTGTAGCGTACATTTATGTAATTTTTAACAATTAAAATAAAATAAAAAATGTAAAATTAAAATATAATATAATATTTATAATCAAAATTTATAAAAATATAAGAATTTGATATAAAATTTGTGTAAAATTAATTAAAAATTTTACATTTAATGAAGTTTAACCTATATTCTAAAATTATTTTAGTAATGAGGTGGATATTTTTAAGCCTAAATTTTTCTTTGTTAACATAGGACTTCTTATGTGTTTTTGTTTTTGTTTTTTTTTTTTAACAAATTTTGATAGTATATTAATTAAAGAATTACTAATTAATTTAAATATGGTGAGACTCACCCACTTTAATAATAACTCATTTTTCTATCCTAATCACTGGAGTAGTACTAATTACCTTACCCTATTATCCTTTTAAAAATACAATTAACCTTACCCTATTATAGTATAATTTTAACAATAAAATTATCTTAACTACTATTTCTTAATAAACTAAATTTAATATAATGGGACCCACTCTAAATTAATCTTCTCTTCTTCCTTCCCTTCCCCAACATCTTTCTCCCTCACTTCGGGTGTCTCCCTCCCTTCTCAAGCATTGTCACAAGTCATGAAGTCATTCCAATTTCATTATGAAATCTAAATCTCTTTTCCATAGGAAAACACGGTCTTTGGAATTGGTCCTTGAAAACAACTTACATAGTCATATTGCAAGACTTGTAGGTTAGGTTGTATAGAATCCAATTTTATTAATATGTACAAATTAGATGGAAAACAACCATTCTCCTTAAATTAAAATAAGATAAAAGTGTGTCATTTTACTATCTATATAGAAAAAGACCAACAGCAACAAAGTCAAATGAACAAAACACAAATGACTAAAAAATTATAGATGATTGGTTGATTTTAATAAGGACACTAGATACAAACATATACTTGAAAAGAGAATGACACAAGACCATAAAAATTTCCATGTATCTAAGTGCTTACTATGATTTAAGCTAGTGTCTAACATTCTCATCCTTGCAGTTGTTGATGATATGTTGTTCTAGATAGTTTGATCCAAGATATGACATCTGGAAGCATGTTAACTAATACTGCCCCTATCCACCACTGAGCTTTAAATTCAATTGCGTTGAATAGCGATGATAGATCTTTGGGAAAGGATGTACGTAATTGAACCCACCAAAGCGCATAACAGGTTATTGTAACCAGCCAATCTCTGTAGTATACTCGAGGTTCGAAACCAGCCAACACAACAATACCATATTTGGCAATAGATTGCATAGCCCAAATCTTGCCTTTGATTCCTTTGGTATTTGTAGAGGGCAGAAACGCATCTTTGGGAAAAAAGCTTTGTAACCAGAAACAAAAAACAACATAACTGATTACTACAAATAACCAATCTTTATAATTGGCCATGGGAGATGTGATAAGAACAAACTTGAACATGCCTTGTGCAATGTTTACAACTGTCAAAATCAAACCACTGATTTCTTTGGTATTTGTAGAGGGCATTGAGCTATCTTGGGAATTATGATGGAACTTATAGAGACTATGAAGCACAAGAATGATTACCCTAACTAACCAGTATTTATAGTTGGATAGGGGAGATTTGAAAGCTGAAGAAATGAAGATAGTTTTTGCAAAACATATAGTAGTTGATGAAAAAATAGAAAACACACTAGCACTTTCAGTTGTGGTATTTGTACCAAAATCTTCTTCCAAATCCAACCAGTACTTATCTAACCAGCTCTTGAAACTGAACAACACAAAACAAATGAAAGCAATTATCCATGTGGGAAACTTCAACTCATAATGGTTGTAAGTAATAGATCCAATGACTCCAATGATAAAACTAAACAACCCAAGGTCTGTTTGTGGTCGTAATACCACTAGTACACATAGAAGAAAAACTGAGATGCACAACATAGCACTGAGGCCCCTCAAGGAATTATCATAAAATTTTGCAAAAAGAAGTGCTATAATAAAGAAGATGAAGTTTGATGTTGAATTTACCATGCAACTGCACCTTCCACGAAGAATTTTAAATTGATTCCAATGCTTTGAATGTGTTAGCAAGCCAAGGCCAATGAGCATCAATAATTGCATTTTAACTCCTCTTCTATCATATTTTGAACTTAACTCTGTATTTAGTAGAAGAAATATGGCAGAGAACATGGCAAGTTTACCAACCAGTTTGGCCTTTAGTTGACCCTTTGTCGCTTCATTGTGGAGATGCATTTCGAGGGCTTCCGATAGATTCTTCATGTTCTCAATAATAGGATCCAGCAAAGATCTCATTGTCGATTGGAAATACACCTTGAGTGCTTTCCATTGATTGCTCACCTCCTCTTCTATCCAATCCTGGAAAAGTATTACTCGAAAGATAAGACTAGTTACTGTTAGTGATGGATGAAACTTGACAACCATCCTCACAATCCGTGGCACTGCAATTGAATCTCTCATATCTTCCATTTCAGAGAAAGGGGAGAAAGAACTGGTAGCACAAGTGGTTATTCTAATGAATTAATTCCACATGGTGTAAAATAAAAATCTGTTTCCCAATATGAACTGGTGTAGAATTAAAAAATAATTTGTTGATAATATGTATGAGTCAAAGGTTTTAGTGGACACATTGATTAGTATTGCAATTTGAATTGGTTCTTCCTTGGTGGGACTTGCGCCGTGGACCTTCCGTGAACTTGCACTAGTACTACTATTGGTATTGAAATTTGGTGTGGACCTTCAAAGTCAAGTCGTCCTTTGCCGTGCTTCCTGGTCATTTGACGTAGGGACTTTAATTAGTATTGGTATTTGACCGTCACTTACCTTACTAGCCATTTCATTTTTCTCATTTTGAAAGTTGTCCACAAGTGGATGCTTTTGCAAATAATTTTTTTTATTTATAATTTTTAACCAAAAAAATTTATAAGTTTATGGGTTAGATTAAGAGTATACTATATAATAGGCCAAATGGTTAGATCCACTAATTTACAAGTATCGTTTTGTAAGTCACATCCATAATTTAAGTCTTTAGGGCAACATTGAAAAATATTATGTTTTTTTTAATACAACAAACAATCTTAAGGGCACAGTGACAGGAAAGATACACACTTAAAATCAATTGAAAAGAGATCAACCTCAAAGTACACGAAAGTAAATATCTAATTAGCTTTCCTTTTATAAAAGTAAAAAAAAAGTTTTAAAACTAATACCATTTGAATAAATTTAACTAAACATTTGATAAAATTAGAGGGTCAAGGGATTTAACCAAAATTTTATTTTAAAATTTTATATAAAGAATCATTACTCATTGTAATACCTGGTATTTATTTATTTTATTTTATTTTATAATTTTTAAATAATTTTATTTAAGCCCTTAAAAAATTTAAATGTAAGGAGAGGGAATTAAGGGGTTTAACTATAAAGGAATCAAGAGTTTTAAAACTAATACCATTTGAATAAATTTAACTAAACATTTGATAAAATTAGAGGGTCAAGGGATTTAACCAAAATTTTATTTTAAAATTTT